CCAGAGGCAGAGGACGACCACTGCTGCGCTTCAAGGATGTCGTAAAACGTGACATGAAGGCCCTGGACATTGCGACGGACAACTGGGAGAGGCTGGCGGAGGACCGGATGAAGTGGCGCCATCAGCTGCGCGAAGGTGGTGACAGACTTGACAAAGACTGGATTCGTGGACTTGCTCAAAAACGTGGACATACTGTATCTCTCTGATTGCACTGTACAATCTCTTGTAGATTTTTCTTGCCAATACATTTTTTTTGTATAATTTTATATCGGGATTGTTGGAAACATCATTTTGATCTCTCTGTCTGTAAACACAAACTGAGTAAGATTGACATTAAAGTTGACTTTTGAATTTGACTACTCTAACTAACACTATCCATTAGTTCAATCCGGCCTTTTTGTCCATCACACAGATCATAAACACCTGAAGAAATCTATCTACGTGAAACAAAGTCCGAAGACCAAGTCAGTCCAGCCCGGCGACTCAGTGACTCTCCAGTGTTCACTCCTCTCCAAAAACAAAGAAAACGCAGATCAGTGTCCAGACGAACACAATGTGTACTGGTTCAGATCTGGATCAGGAGAATCCCATCCAAGCATCCTTTACACTCACAGTGAGGAACAAAAGGAACGCAGTTGTGTCTTCAGTCTGTCCAAAACTATACACAACTCCTCTGATACCGGGACGTATTACTGTGCTGTGACTACATGTGGACAGATCCTGTTTGGAGAAGGAACTACAGTGGAGACAAGTACGTTATGTCTTATTTAATTCCCAATGCATTTATGTTGATTATTCGCTTGCTTCCTTAATAGGCTTTAGTGTTAGCTGCCTCCGCTACACTTTCCCTATCTGTTTTTTCAGTGTGTGTGTTTCCTATACATTTCCTGCTGTACTCTTTTGTACATCAAGGCCTCTTTTGCTGTTCATGTACTTGTGCAGCTTATAACATATGGCTCTAAAATTGCACATTAGAGCAATACTACAAAAAGCGTTAAAAAGCGTTTTTTAAAGTATATCAAGTCACTGCTGCTGTGAAACAATTAGTTGGTTTTCCTTTCAGTTTTTACTGTTATGGAAGGCCAACAAGCCCTCCTATCTGACACACGAAATATGTACAGTAATGGATCATCACTCAAAATTCAGAGTTTTTAGTGATTATACAACTATAATGAATTATAATTATTTACTAATGTAAAAGCAATTAAATTACATTTGAGCTAATAGTTAATTGTCTCTGTAATTGTTTTTCTCATTACAGGACAACAACTGGACCTGTCCCAATTTGTCCCTGTGCTCGGGACGCTGCTGGCCTGCAGTTTGATTGTGATTGCTGTTCTTATAATCTTCAGAAATCAAAAGTCAGTTTGTGAACATCGCAAAGGTAGATTCATGGGGTTTGTGTAGAGTCTTTGATACGTCATTAACCAAGTTAGGATTCAGCAGTTCAGCATATTTTTACCTAGGTTTTGCAGTAATTGTAATGGTTTGATAATGGTAATCATAACGTCTGTATTGGTACATTAATAGCTTCAGCTTTCAGCTCTTCTACGTGCACTAATTAAATTAAATGCCAGTAAAGTTTAAAATGTTGTTTTGTGACCAGCAGTAAAGTAATTTTTCCTGGATCACAAACTTTGATGTGAAATTACAACAATAGCTTCATTGTTTGCCTTTCATTTTTTTTTACAGGAGAATCTTCCAACCATGATCTTCATGAAGGATTGGCTGAGGATGAATCAATTAATGTGGTAAAGATAATTTAAATATCATCTTATGCATGACTGCAGTAACTGAAGTTAAATTTGAAATTCACTTGGTTGTTGTTTAAATGCTCTAAAAGGGGACCTATTATGCAAAATCCACTTTTTCACGTCTTTTCTACATCAACATGTGTCCCCTCCGTGTAAAGAGACTCTGAAAGTTTCTGGAAAAAAGATTCGCTCACTTTTTGTCCTGATCCATTTATATAACAACCTGTCTGAAAATGAGCTGATCAGATTTTGGCCTCTTTATGACGTGAAACGATTTTTTGGCTTGTGTAACCATTAGCCAATCACCAACCAAGGTAACCCCCCCCCCCCACCTTATCACCTGAATCTCTTCCGAGAGCACCATTGAGTTCTTTTTAACCAAATCTCTCTCAGAGGGGCGTGGGGTGTGGCAACTTATTTTCATCCAAAGTAACAGACAGAGAATCAGCACTTTTGAATCAGGGCTGAAACAGAGGGGATTATGCTGCAATGATCTGTTTGGTATTTGGAGCAAACACTTATAATAGAAAACCTTTAAAGCTCACAATCCTATTTGTTTTCTTTTGCAGGGCGGTGGAGCAGCACTGAACTATGTAGCGCTGGATTTCCCCTCAAGAAAAGCCAAAAGATGGAAAAACAGTGAGTTAACGCAGGACTGTCTGTACTCTGGCATGACAGATCATCAGTGAACTACACGACAAAAGAAGGTCTATTGTGTTTCATGTTAGATTGATCTTGAATAAACACTGAATAATTCACAGATTTATTATTGAAGAGTTCTGCCAGAAAATCCATCTTTGTTATTTTTATTCAGAAAATGTTGTGACATGTTTTGTTTGATAAAGTCACCTGTGACCTTTTGTACAATTCTTAGCTAATTGTTGTTGTTTTAATGAATGTTTGGCTTGAACTTTGAGACACTTTGAGTTTTTATCTAAACACAAGACTGTTAGGCTTTATGTTGGGTTAATATGCAAAGACAGTATATTCAGAACAGGCTACAATACAGGAATAGTGAGTGCACAATGAGTCCAGTTTTTACGTGTGACAGGTAACATTAAACACAACGTAAAGTATCTAATAAAAAGACTAAACTATATCAGTACCAGCATGGCAAAAATAATTACACTTCCTGGAAAATGATATGTATATTCATATGAGTGATAGAGATATATTAGTAATGTAACATTTACTATGTTGCTGCCACTGTTCATCACTTCTTAAACCCAAACCCAAACATGGTCATTTTTGTTTTTGGAAAAATGTTTTCCTCTCAGTCACTTTCACATTGTTTCTGTACTCAAAGCGCCGGATGAAGACAACCTTTACAACAACCCCAAAAGGACCAAGCAGATAATTATCATATCACATAATAATTATATTTCCACCCCATTGAAATAAATACAGAAGGTGAAAAAGGACTTTTCAATTATGATGGGTCATTATGATTGATCAGATACTGGTGACCACTGCATTAATACATGATTTATAAGAATCTAATTATTTATTATATTAGCGTAACATCATTTTTTGGTGTTAGCTCTTTTACTTCAGTACAGATGTGATATTTCCTTTTACAAAAAGGTTGTAAAGTTATGCTTAATTAAGAAAAACCTCTTTTTCTCAATTATTTGTTTTAATATGTTTAATATAACCAATTAGGGTTAGTATTTCTAAGATAAAATGACGACACATTCA